TGAAAAGACCGATGTCAGAGGGATGCTTACAGAAAAAAATGCCGTCTCCCAATGTATGAATTCAGGCTCATGCCGTGTTGGTTCTGGAAGGAGAAGGCCCAACAAAAACTAGACAAAGTCACTGAAGACAGAACCCCAGAAGAAGCTGAGAAACAAGAGCTTGATCTGGTAGAAATTCGCGGTTGTTTAAGTAAATAACAATAGCAACAGTAAGAACTGTACGAGCGAAACAGGCCGGGGACGTTTGCTCTTTTCAATCACAACATGACCCTTCGCTCAAAACTATTTTGTTGCGATATCATTTTATAGATGTCCATTGCTTTGTGCTATATATTGACTGTGCCCACAAATTAGTAAAACTCAACGGCCGGTCTTTAACATAGCCGCGACTATATGTGTTTTTCAATGTAGTCCTTGCCCTGTTATTTATTCGTATTGCTCTATAGTTTGATTTGACCCTTTACATTGCTGAACCAATTGTTGTTCTTGCCGTTGTCGGGAAAGCTGGACCAACTAAGAAACAGATTAGCAGTGTCTGACGAGTAGAAACCTGTCGTTCAGAGTTGGCCTGTCAAAACTAGAAAGAAAGCTCATGAAGAAAAAAGCTTGAACAGAACAGGGGCCCTTTTAGGAGTACGTCTTTTAAGAGTAAGAATTGTCTTTTAAGAGCTGTCAGATTTCGCCGGGGCGTGCTGACAGGAATTAGGACCAGCAATCACCAGAGGGTTGTGTATGTTTCGAGAAGGAACAGGTTTATTGCAAGCCTTCAATTCAAAAGCAATCTCGCCCCTTGTCGTCCACTTTCCACCTTCTATAGGCGTAAAAGAGAGCGAGACAAGGGTGACAACGAACAGACGTCGCACCGACCAATGACCTATATATCCCATGCTGTTCAAGGATGAATTTGGTAGGCTTGTAAGTTATCCGTTTTTTTTTAATAGTTTTGTCCTTTATTTTTCCTAGAATTATGGGATTTTTAAGATGCTCCTATAAATGAGCTATTTCTGTTCGCGAGTCTATGTCGAGATAAATACGACCGACCTTTTCAGGAATCTCCACTATTTCATTTGAGTGCAGTTGCTCTTGCCCTTTGGCTACTGCCGGGTCTAACTCCACGCATTTTCTTTCAATCGGGTTCTGCAGCAGGGGTTCTAACGGTGCTAAATTTAATAATAGTTTTAGTCGTTATAACCTGTCTTGGTGTTTTCATCCAATCGTTTTGCGGCGCCAGCCAACGAACACGGCACCGCAGGGCACAAACGCCCGCAACGTGAGCAACGAACTTGCTAGCGCTAACGAACTCGACCATTTTTCTTCAAAAAACGTAATTCATTGCATTCGGGAGATATTCGTTTCGCTCGCTCCTGCAGTGCCGGAGGTCCCTTACAGCTAGCTTATGAGATGAAGCGAAAATTGCATCCCGCTTGTGTTCGGCTTCGCTTGTAGTCCTTCGCTACCAGCACAAACGTAAACCAGGCAAGGAGGCGGCCAAGCTGTTGCCTTTAGCCTACCCGACGCGGCAATTCCCAGATGGGGTCAAGAATTTATGAACAAGGATGATCCGCCGCTGCTGCAACCGGCTCCGCGGACGGCTCTACGAAGGCCACGAGGCAACAAAGACCCGAATAACCTACGCCAGTCGACCGCCAACCTTCAGTAAAACGTGTCAGTCTTGTATGACTAGGTGGAAGCAACGTTCATTCGTCGAACGCCCACTTGCTGCGCCCTCCTGCTTGCCTGTCCGGTTTGTTTATCCTATGCTCTTTACTTCTATCTCCCGCTCTTTTGTTGTCCTCGAAGAAGATAATGTGCGAAGAGAGGGGCGTGGAAGTAGCGAATACAACGTAGTAAGGGTGGAGATGCTTGCGACAAGCTGCTTCTAGACGATCCGATGTACTTTGGTAGCGATACGGTGCGTAATCCGCTGCTCCTGCTGCGGATTGGCTCTCCTTTATTACTGCCTTTCTGTGTATTTTACTTGACGGAGGCAATGGCCGCAACGGCAGCGGTAGTCGGGTAGAATAGGGCGGAGCGGTCGAGTAGAGCCAGAGGTGCGCAAAACTTAAGGACAGCCGTTGTCCTTTTGACTTCGTCGCTTTTGGCTACTCTCCAAAGGCGTCGCTATCGTGCTTTAACAACTTGCCATAACTATACCGTTACTACTATAGCCGACGCCCCGAGCACGCACAACGACAACGGCAACGCATGAACGCGGCTGATACCTGGGCCACAGCAAAAAAAAAATGACTACAGCCAACTAAACAGAGCACAGCCGGACGTTCGCTTGTTGCCTGGATGCCTTCCGTCTCTTTGCCACTACCGCCGCTGTCCGCTCTCCGTTTAACCATGAATTACGATTATGTCTCTCGACTATACTCCAACGTTACACTGTTATTGCTGCTATAGGGGAGACCTCGTTGCTTCTGGTGCAACCACCGTGTCTTTTCTTTTCTCCTTAAGTCCATTCGCTGTCACGCCGACATCAGTAACAATAAACAGCAAGGAGAGGATGTTGGCTAAGGATAAAGGGAGCAAGTGGAGATGTTGGTCCAACTAAACCACTGTAGGGCAACGCTGGGTTTTGAAATGTTGCCTCTTGCCCACTGTCAAAAGTCGCTTCGTTGCCCTGTGTCTCTGGATATCTCAGTCACTCGCCACGTCACAAAGAAGGGCTGCTGGCAGCTGGTTTAGTTAGATTTGTCAAATTAAGCCAGTCAAACAGCTTTTTCCAATAATCGTAGGCGTAACACCGGGCACTGATGCAGATTATAGTAGCAAAGTAGCGGATACAGAAGTACGGCAGTTGAACACTTGCTATTGACTGGCTATCGTACTGATATGATCGTGATGGGCAGTAAACTGATGGCCAATGTTGCGTATAACTCTTCCCTTTGCAACGACGAAGCCAAACAATACTTTTGATATGATTTTTATGTGTCAAGCAGCGTACTGGCACAAACAAGCACAGCTACACACACAATCCGTAATTGTTTATCCATAAGTTTTTCTAGCTATATTTCTCCCCTCATCCTTGCCCCCGTCCAATTTTACCTTATATCCTTTTCTTCTTTCGGAATAGCATTAGCATTCTAGCTGGCCTGTAGCTTCGCGAAAGTTTCTGGTGCAGAGCTATTTCGGTATTGGTGCTACAACGATAGTTAATGCCACTAACTAAATGGAAAGCGTCCGTTTTCGTCCGCTTCGCCGGGGATGCAGGCATGCTGATAGAGGAATCCCAAACCCGGTCAGTCGAAAGGGGCGCGTCTCGTCCCCGCCTCTGTCCTAGTCCCATGATGCTCTCGCATTTGCCTCCAGCTTTCATCGCGTGTGTCCGTTCCCTCCTGCCCCCGTCGAAACAAAGCTAGGGGGTTGATTGCACGTCCAAATTAACATACATATTAGACCAGCAAACCTCGTTTACAAGCTCGGCAGCTGTTCGAAGCTGTCCGTCCTGTCAAGCTAGTGTCAGCATCCTGGCAGAGGAGGACACTTCATCTCCGTTTCCGCACACTTTTCACCAGTGATCTCTCGCAGCGTTTGCAGACGCTCAAATCTTTGTATTAGCCATTTGGCTAGCAAAACGTACGTGAGCTAACAACTAAAAAAAGCCACTAACTGCTCATTATTTTCAATATCTTGAAGACATTCTTTTTCTCTGTACGACGACCTGATTGCATAGTTTGTGAAACACGAATGCTTATTGTCAACGAGATTATAGTGCAGACTGTAGCCGTAAACATGAAATATTTCACGACACAACAACACAAACTCCGAGGAAAGACACTTACTCGGGTTTGAACGCACACGTATTATCTCATCGTCAGTGTGTATACGTGAATTATCTGTTGATGCTTTACGAAACTTGGAACTATAATCAGCTTTAAACCAGCAAATAGAGGCCTAACGACAATTAGCAACATAATTTCCCGTAAACTTAGGGGGGGCGCGGTCGTTTAGATTCGAAACTGGGCGTAGATACATTTCGTTTCGTCCTGGAAGAGGCCAGCGGCCTGAGGCACTGTTCAGGCCAGTACCAGACGCAAAACTCCAAACAGGTACTCAGTCAGTGGCATGATAGTTATTAATAGGCAAATCGCCAGTGACTCAATCACCTAGTGAGGCTAGTATATTCTCAGCATTTCTTCTCAGATTAAGTAATATTATGAGAGCTATTTGGGTCATACCATTTCTGAGAAAGACATTCAGCCAGTCGTTTTGGCCTAACTCTATGATAAGCTTCTACTCATATCAATCCTCGCAATTAAAGCCCATAACTAAATAATAAATAATGTGTCGGTAGATAAGTTGTGCTGGAAAGTCTAGTCAGCATGTGCCAATGTAAAATATAACTAATTTCATCTGTAGGTTATTAAAAAGTTAGCCAAAAATTTATTGGAAGAACTTTCGGGACGGGGGATGTCCATTGTAGTACATGGTAATGATCCGATGTGCCTCAGTCTCCATTTTGGGAACGTTACAGCAAATCCCATTATTAACGTATTGTCCATCAAAGCCCAGTAAAATCTGCTCAATCCGGGCGAACCGTGCATACAGACGTATTTTTGCAAATTCAAATATATTAAATAACCAAATAATATTTCCACAAAACGACTATGCACGGAAATAGCTAAGGAAACTAACGGCTTTTACGAATGCGTCAAGCAGTGACAGTAGCTCATGCACATAATACTATTATTATTAACGGTTATTGTATATAACGGTTATTGAAAATAAATATCTACTGTATACATTAGATGCGCATGTTGATTGGTCAATGTCTGGGTCGGCCATGCTTCCACGATGCCCATATCGCGTGAACGGCTCTCTCTTTATGTATATATATATATATAATTTTTTTTGTAGTCTCGGTCGCTATTGATCTCAAAGTCGCATTAGTGTGATAGACGCCATCTGCTATGGACACAGTCATACATATATTGATAGGGTGCTGGTTTGGCTTGTTGGTGGGGTGGAGCATGCAGGTCCCATGGGATACTTACGCAATCCAGGGTATCCCGCAGCCGGCACGTGTGCGGTGTAGGCGGCAGCTGGTTGGATTTGCGAGAGACCGGAACCGTCTGAGGCAACTGATGTGGCCGTGTTCAGGAAGTTGTGCGGCGTCGCCGAGTAGAGTTCCTCCAGCTGGCTCGATTGTTGACTAGAACAACCGAATGATGGGGCCAGAGCGCTTCCTGGAGGTGACGGAACCGTGCCCGCCGGCGAACCGCAAGCTACAATACACACCGGAACAAACGCGACACCAACAATACATCCGAAATAATAAGACCAGCCTGCAACCCCCCGGCAACAAACCTTCTCTCTCTTGGTCGGTCTCATTCGGGGGGTGAATAGTGGACAAACTGCAACATCACCATCTGAGACTTATATGATAGGGCGGGCATATTGCGTTTATTAACTTGGCCCCGTATGGCGTAGCAATACGTGTAACGAAGGAACGTGGGGGTATTAGTGGCCGCTGTAAGCACAGAACAGGACTAAATTGGGCCGAAGGAAACTGTATTGCATGTCATGTTGAGTACTCTGTACCTATGCTGGCCTTCACAAGTTGACTATGTAGCATTTCCAGACGAGCGAACTACTAAGTTGTTTAGTTACCTGATGGGGCCGATATTTGGGGGGTGTATTTGGAAAGGGTGCAACTAGAAAACCGTATTCGATTTCTATGCTAGCACGATTATCTTATTGTGCATCTCTCTCCTATTGAGTTACACTTTTTAGCCACCATAAGTGGAACTTATCGTTGCAGATTGGCATTTGCCATACGCCTTATTAGAGCTTCTCATGTGGGCATCAGAATAGTGCATATAAATGTCGATATGCAACTGATACGTGCTAAAGGAAGAGCTGGTAACAAGTGTGATCGAATCGTAAGTGTCGGCAATCCTTCACTTTTTTTTGCCCTGACAGGCCGTAGTTGAGCGTATTTTAAAGTTTACCAGCGCCTTTTTTTTCTGGAGTTTAATCCGCTAGCCGGCAAAACCGGCAGGTTTCAAGTGCTTTCTTTTCGCGCCTGCGCAAAACCTACGCTATTTGGTTCCTCCATGGCGGAAAGGTGCCACTGCCAGATCCCAGATTCGAATTGGAAATCAAGAGTCTACTTTCTCCAGTCGGATCCAACGTGATAATCTTTTTATATTTCGCTTACGGTATCCAGCTGAATAACAGTTAAACACGACCCGTCCTATGCGATGTTCGCGTATAGGCTGCATAAAATATTCAGATATTAACAAAAAGCTCATTTTGTTTATTATCGTTTATTCTTATTTTCTTAATTTTTTGGTTTTCAAGTACAGTATACCCTCACAAATTTATCTTTGCCCCACCAGTTGTTGTTATCATTTTATCCGTAAAATAGTTACCAAAATTCAGGCTTGAACAAGAAATTACTGTAAGACACCGTCTACTGCGAGGCCGCTATAGCTAGGACATCTAGGCTAATGTAGGAAATATTTTTTCTAAAAGTGGCTCAACAAAATTTTTGTTGAAACCGAAACACTGAGTGGAGTCTGTTTTTTACGTCAAACAACCTAATGAACTTCTTCAAGCAATACGGTGAGCTCCTTGACGCACACACGGTACCAAATATCGTGTTGGAATATAGCTATTCTTGACGAAATATCGGACAGCAAATTCTATGCACGGATCATTTTAGTTTAGAAGTAATCGTATCGAAACAATATACCTAGTAAGACAAAAACAAAAAAGGTTTCCAACAGTGCATGGTGCGTGATCATCAACAAGCGAAAATATAGAAACGAGACGCAATAAACAAGAACGCCTATCACTTATCTAAAAACTTAATGTTAACTCTAAATATGTTACAGTTTACGCATCAGAAATTTCTTATGATGTAAATAACAGTCAAATATACACAAGATGCAATAATCTCTCTCTCTATATATAAATGATCATTGCTTTACTTGCATTTTACCTCCGTGGATTCACTAAGAACGCCACAAAACTCTAAGGTAGCACAACTTTTTTTTAAATAAAGTTACACCTTTCAAATGAATTGGGGTGGCTGAGACAAACCCACTAGAAGCAACCCAACACTGAACGGCATAAAAAACGCTTTGCTATCAATCGACTCTAACCTACCGAAAAAGACGAGCACGAAGAGTTTATTCCACCGAGAATTAAGGCTAAGAATGATCTATTCGTAGTTCATCATACGCCAACAGGCTGAGATAACAATTGAGCGAAGTCAGGCCAAATTTTATGCACAGATCTCACCTGTCGCTTTCGCTCTATGGCATATCAGTGTATCTACAACAGATATATTGTAATGAGTCTCAATGTTACGCCCATATAATTGGCCCTGCATTTGGTAGAGGTAGCTTCGACTGTTTCGCTACTATATATATTTTTCTGCCACTGCACGTCAGTAAAATTGCGGCTGCACGACAACTAGCACGTGCCGTCGTATACGAAGGGTATTTGCACGCTTCGGTGACCCTTAACAGGTACAACAGCTCGGTAAGGTGACCCTCTGACTCCTAAAGGCGGTAGTTTGTCCTCTCGCCACACCTCTAGTCACACAGTTTTGCCTTCATTTCAGGTGGCCTTCGGCCTGCTCAGAGCCTCTCCGCCTCGGTCGTCTTCTCTTCCATCTTCTACTCGCAAAAGCAGAGTAAGAGGAATTCAACGGTGAATTGATTTAAATGTTAATGTTCCCTTAGGTCCAGCAGTGCTGACAAGGCTCCACCTGGCAGGAAAAGAACCGTGCCGCTGACATTCAGCTTGTATGTACATCCTGGGTCGTGAAAACGAACGCATCAACCAAAATGAACTGTACAAGCAGCAGCAGCAGCTTGAGCAACAAAGACAGGCTGACGATAGTAACGGCGTGGCGACGACTACAATGAAACCGAACAGGAACAGATGGCAAAAACAGCATAATACTAGCCTAGAACAACATACAGCTAAGCAACAATGCCAACAATAACAACAACAACTACCGCGGCATAGCAGCAACAGCAGCGACAACATCAACAACTATAGCAGAACAGACGCTTAACAATACTTCAAAATATTCAGAATGGAATAATACGACGAGCTAGCAGGACAAGGCTAAAGCGAACGGCCGTTGACACTTACCATTTTTGTCCATCTTTGATTGCACTGAGAAAAGAAGGTCCTAAAATAGACTAGCCTGGAACAACTCTTCAGTAGATCCTATTTTCCCAGCATATACTACTCATAATAAATAGTTACTTTGTTTTTTAGGCACGGGTAAATACACATTTTGCTTAACTATTGCGAAACAATATGCATATACACACATGCTTATACATATACTATATATATATGCGCGCACTAATGTGGCGCATACGCATTACCCTAGTAACTTAACAATTGACCGCTTATTTGGACAGACAATCATATTAAAGAAGGCCTGGGTAAGCTGTAAATCTTTCGCATGGCACGTGCGTGCCTGTATCCACAAATACAGTTTTATCTACCTGCATTTTATAGATCCGCTTACGCTGGTGTAATTTAGTCTTACTGAACAAGATGAGAGTCACTAGCAAAAAAGCCTCCCCTATAGCTGCAGATAGAAGTTTTGAAGGCCTATAGAAGGCAAATTAGTTCTATTCGCCTAACAGTTACTAGCCTTCAGTTAGTTCTGCCCTTCCCATCGAATTATTTTTTAGGAGATGGTAGGGTTTTTTTTTAGGTGTTGGTAAGGTTTTTCTAGGGGGTGATAGCGTTTTTGTGAATCGACAGGCGTGAAACAGGTATCTCTATTGGCTTTTAAGGGTGCGCTCTAAACTGCTTTCTCGGCGAGTATGTGACTCTAGCAAATGCTGATCGAACGCGCCAGCAAAGCGAGATGTTACTTTATGTCCAACTTTAACTGTGGTAGACACAATTGAAGTACAACGCAACGCTATTTATGGTCGGTCCTCAGCTCCGGCAGACTGCGAGAATGTGGCCATTGTAGGCCGTATCCAGAATAGGCGCAAGACCTATTCGTTGTTGGTTCGAGAAAATGAATTGATCTCTACTTGTTTCCAGTTGCAAACAAAATCTATCCAGACCAGTTGACGGTATGGCGAGAATTTGCATATACACGATTATTGTACATATCAGCAAATGCACAATTACATACACAGGCTCACAAACACAAAGGTAAGCCCATGATGATCCTCTCCAGCCCAAGACGATTGTGTCGTACATAACGCAATCTGATGATGACGAGGTGGCATTTGCTTATAGCGGATGAAAGGCCAATATATGTTTGTATGATCATGACCTGCTGTTCTAGACAACACTAAATTGTTTATTCGTATTAAGTTCTTATCCACGTATTTATAAAACGTATAATACGTTTGATGTAGTTTTCTTTGTTTTAAGTCACCACCTCTTTTTATCGGCTGTCCAATCGTTTATGCTGAAGGCATCGTCTACTATGTTTTAGTACAAACGTTCATAAACGTTTTGAACAACCGCTTATTAAGCCAGCTCAAGAGGAACGATGAAGCACATCTTTGTAAAACCAATGTCTTCGCTATTCTAACCTACCTATTTTCGCTAACATCAAGAAGCTTTTCTCCCACGCCCACGATATGTACATTTCCCATAGCACATAATAATCCTATGTTTGTCCAAGGTTGTTTTGGCAAGGACGCTTATAGGTATTTTTATAGTATACTGTTTTCTCTTTTACTCTATGAAATGTCTTCCAAGATTCCGTATTTGCTTGTCTCAAATGCTTGTTTGTGCTGGAAATGGTCCAAATGAAAATTCCGCCTATTCGGAATAGGACTTGAATGTTGACCTATCGTGCCCATTACGAGTGTGGAGAGAGGACTAAAAAAATAGGTGAAAATACCGAGAGGGCCTGTATTCAGATAATATAATGCTTCTTAAAAAGGTACAGGATAGCGTTTTGTATGTTTTCGTAAAGAAACTTTCAAGCTTGTTCTGCCTTGAGTGGACCAGAGTCGTCTTGAAGAACGTGCATAATCTCTATCACGCGATACTAATCTAAGCTCTTTTACTCAGTATATTGTTTCTGTTTAAGTTATTTCAAGCCTATAGTGTATATAAAACTTTGTTATACAAAAGATTATGGAAGGTTGTTTCAACCAGAAGATAAAGGCTTAAGGGGGTCATTTTTCAATAAAATAAGGCGAGAACTCCCTTTTATTGAGGCTAACAGTAATTGCTTACAAAATATTATGTACACTTACGACGATCTAGGGGGGTAAGTAGTCTAATTATCGCGTAGTATTATATTGATATATGGTAATCATTCCAGCTGCAACCCGCAGTAGGATAGGGAATACGAAACAAAGCATTTGGCGGTTTTGCCAAGCTGAATCTAATGGAACAACAAAAAAACAAATAGAAAAAAATAATTTCTATGCGGAGTTCGACTTCATCGAACTCCGAAAAAACTATAAACCTCCCCTTTGCTGTAGTTGTAATACTATTACTAATCCCGGTAAGCTCTTGCACTTACCAGAGGTGGGCGTTAGGGCTGGGCTGGGTAGCGCTGAAGGAATCGCGACAGCTACCTGCGGACTCAGAGAAGGCAGGTACGACGTCATAAGAGCAGCCGTTTGCTGGAAGTTAAACGTGGAAATGACTTTAGAGAAATATATTCATTATGTGTATTCTTATCCGCTATGTATACCTATGTACTTTCAATAAATGAGTTATTCTCGTTATTACATCTTTTGTGTCCATCTCCTGGTTTTTCCCATCAACCCTCGCTCGCCTTGGGGTGTACCTAAACCCTATTTTACCTAGCCCCATTTTCTCTCTCGAAGTACTCAGCCAGTTATCATAGGTATTCGTCAGCATTATTCTCTGCTCCAGTCAGAGAAGCGGGAAGTTTTGAGGGCCAATATTTTTATTTTTACTGGGCGAAAGAGGCCGTTGTTGGTACCTTTGTGGCCTCTTTTTGTACAAAGCCTTAGATCAGGCCATCTCTCTAGTACTCGAAGCAAGAAGGAGCAATATTGTCGCTGCTTTAATTTCAACCCCTACTCCATGTGAAGTGCTGACTCATCCGGTTATTCAGGGTTGGAGAGCTTGTTGAATTAATATGTGTAATGTAACATTTAAGCAGACGTTAAAACGAAGCAGAGATGCTAATATTTCTAAGTTGTTCTTTAACTTTGTTTCTTCTACGTCTGTAAACAGCCTTTCTCTCTCGCCTCTTTCTGTTAGCAACCAACAGCCTTTCGTGGCGACGGTGACGGGTCAGAGACATAATCGCGGATATCCCCACTAAACCCCGGCCACTACAAATATCATTGCATTATTGAGTTGTGAGGAAAATAATAGAACCGAAACCTCCGAACCAACTACTATATAATTGGAGATGCGGTTTGAGATTTATTGATAACGACAACGATTAGAATAGTTGAAACAACAGCTCATTCCCAAAAATAAGTAATATTCGAAGACTACATTGTGCCATTACCACTACACAAGTGAACCTGTCAAGCCACCAATGGACTCTATAAGCCGTTGAATAGAAAACCACTTGGATTCATTCACTCTGACATATAGGGACGTACCGGCAAGTATCACCCCGTTAACAACGAAGTGTTTCCTTTGCCACAAGTACCACAACGAAAACAGTTGTCTTACGGTAACAACTCAGCATAATGCTTGTCTATATATACAGACAATTGTGCTCCGTATCCTATCCTTTTTCTATGACATAGTCAATTACGATAGGTATCATTTCTCGGCCATCTTGACACATGTGTTTATCTGTCCTATCCACAAAAGGAATGTAGAAGGATCCAGCTCGACCTTACTGTTTCAATAGTTACTCCCTACTCGATGAGCCAACAGTGTGATGAACAGACACACAGTAGCGAATTCATCGACAGGTCGCCTTGGCATCGGTAGATAAGGACTCTCGTGACGGGACGAGCCTTATACACCCGTTCAAGTCTTCACGAATCCGTTGCTATTGCCGACTTCGCTCAGAATGATAACGTTACCAACAGGCCGACGATGATGATGGAAATATGATAAGACAAGGGATTGCCGTACGAAGCGCTGTCTAGTCGATGGAAGGTTGTTGCTTTAGTAGCTAGCAAAACCAAGGAGACGAACCCGGTGGTGTCAGGTCCTACATTACTGTATTCCTTCCGAGTTATTTCTCTGCTGCTGCGGAGAGTGTTACATGAAGCGTGACGGCAGCATGACGTAGCGTTAGAAGAAAAAAAACGATGAAAGTGTCGTCCACGATGACAACGTAAGCAGTAGCAACAACGACAAAAATAGTATCAGCAGCAATGGTTGCTTCTGTTGTTATTCCGAGAGGCCAGGAACCATTTAGTGGACAGAGAGCTTTTTGTTTAGCGGGGTGCTTGCCGCACCCCCGTGTCATCCTGGCTATCCCTATTACCTCCGCTACTTTACTCCGCGCCCACCTCCCCCAATCGATATAAAGCCGGTCGGTTAGCAAATCTTCCTTGAAGAATGTTTTTTTTTTTCGGACGTATCGTTTCTGAAAAAGAAAAACCGACCGCTACAACCGCTGCCGTGCCAGTTTTAGTCTTTTCCACCTCAATACTTGGACACATCTTCAGATGCCAAGAAGGAAAAAACAAAGAACAGGTCTAAAGTTTCTTGCTATAATCCTTTTCAGCCGTCAAAGCAGAAAACGCAGCTGGACGTCTAGGTTAACGAACGACCTAGATGAAGAGAGCGAGCAATTCAGTTGTGCGTATTTTCGACAATCCTCAAGTGCCCGTTCACTGCCGCTGGCGTAATCATCAAACGGCAGTGCTTCGCCGAGTTTTTGTCCGTCTTTATTTCTCCTGGCAATGACACAGGAACGGCGGCGGGACAGACTTCATCATCGCCGCCGATGTGGTGCCATTGGTCGTCAACGGGCAGGAGATCTTACCAGCTGGTTGGACAGCAAAGAGAGACAGCCGATAGCAGAAAGAAAAAGGTGCGAAATGAAACAGGCACACATAAAAGGTACACTAAAAGGACACATGTGGTGGGCAAATTGACTCAGAATCTGATAAGCGTTTTGACGGTACAGACGCGGCGAATTTCTTCTTGCAGATGCTACTACAGCTGTCGGATCCGCGGCTCACACCAAAAAACCACTGAATGTTGAAAAACGGTATAAATTTTGTAGAAGATTTTTAGGGCGTAACGCAGGATAGTGCTTTAGTTCAGCTTGCGCGAAGGAGGCAATGCAGTGAATGTGTCACAAACGTATGCAATACAAATTTCTTTTTTAGTCTTTAATTCAACAAGGATCCGGCAAGCAATCATAAGGGCATCTATCGCAAAACTTGCTCGATTTACACCCATCAAATTCTGTGATGTAGACGGTCTATCTTCCATCGAATGGCAGTCATACAATAAACCGTAGCGTGCGATTCGGCGTGCAAAAACGCGGAAAGCAAATCACTAGCTACTACTGGAAGCGAGAGTTGGTGTCCACGAATCCCGGGCCCCCGTCTGCCCAGTCTAGAAACGCTTGAGAAGCAAGCCCTTCCTCTGAGTCACGTATCGAGGCACTGGGTCTATAGCAAGGGATTTGCATTGACAATAAAACGAACTTAAGATCTATCTTGGATCCAATGGGACTGCCGTAAGCAACCAACTGTATCGCCAGACAGACAGAAGGAAACGCGCCGCAATAAAGAATCAGGAGAAGAGTAGGTGGATATTGGGAGAAGTTTTAGATATAGGAAGAGGTGGAGCTAGCGACATCATCCGGAGGTCGACTCAAGTAATATCGAGAGTCGTTCACTACCGGTAACGTCCAAAATGGCGGGTCTACGAGCGAATAAAGCGAATATCAAGTTAAGGCCACCAGCAGCGGGCAGCGACGGGGCACTATGGCATCTGCAACATCTAAATCAACTCCGCCTCTGTCAACCCGCTCGCACTTTGAGCATCCCGTGTAGAAGCATTAGGATCTTGATACAATAGTGCCACCTCCTCTACCTCCTTCCCCAAGGTCTTAAAAAGCTCCTTTAGAGCGACGCCATACACGAAACAACGACTACTAACTACTGCCATATATTGGCTCGTTATGCGATTACCCGGCATGCTGCGCTATGTAATGCATGTTTCGGCTCGTATGTGCGTACACATGATATATATATATACAGTGACCCCATTCAGTATGACACATGCGCAGAGATGTTGTGCAAGCACGTCGACCGGCTACTTGTTGTACTTGAGGTTCATTCTTTTTGCTCAATGTAGCATAAAACCTAAACAATTGCGGAAAAAGTATAAAAATTATGAGAAATTTACATTGCAACTGTTGGAGAGCCATAATGAATAATGTGAAATCAGCATTTTCAAGAAAGTGATTGGGGATTCAGTAATTTAATACAAGAAAACATTGGGCTGACATGTAAAGAATAACTCACTTTTTTACCGTGCAACACGAAAGCTTTATGTTCAGGGTAGTCAGTAAAAATCTCTGGGAGTTGTTAAATTGTTGCTAGTGAATGACGTAAATGTTTTATAAGCGACGGGTGAAATGTTCCGACTAGAATCGTCTGTGACGGCTGGTTAACCTGGACGAAATTTTAGGTATGCGTAAAAACCTAAAGAAGTCGTGGGTCCTCACAATTATCAAAAAATAGTCTTTAGGGCTTTTGTCCAGGGCCACACGGCCCAGACTCCAAGGACAGGGTCGTATATGCCCGGCAGTAAAAGGGTGTATATGGCAACCGAAATTAGAAAAGGGGATGAGGTCCTATGACGAGGTGCTTCCCAGAAGCGGATCATAATATTGGTTTTCAAATCTTACTTATCTGAAATTTCATCATGTCCGATAACACGGCATGGGTTTACGTTGTGTAACTTAGGGCGGTAATCTCATCTTTTTAGAAGCGAGCAAGCATAGTTGAGGTCGCCAGTAGTTGACGCCGCGGCACACATGAGACCACTTGGCACGATTTGTACCCTCCACGTAAAAAAACTCCAACGATTGATCTTTTGCAATAAAGATCGTACCATTGTAGGAAAACAGGTCCAGTCAACGTATAACCAAGGCAGTAAGGTTCATTTTATGTTCCCAAGCATGGGATTTAAGAAGAATATCTGCGCTGATAGCAACGACAGAGTCCAGCAAGTAACTGGCCATTGGTCGTTGCGAGGCAACGCAGAGCAATCCGGGTGGGTTGGTTCTTCGCCCGCGCTGGCATCAAGGATTTTCTTAGTAGCGCCATTAAATTAAAAGCGCCCCTGAAAATTCTCGGAAAGTAACCCTGCGGAGTTAGGACGCTCAACCAAGTTATCGAACGTTTAAATACGTTCAGCTAAGTAAGCTGCTCTCACGAAGGCTTGAATAATAAGAACCAGTTTATTCACTGAGCAAGCAATATGAGATAGTAGCAAGCAAAATTAAACCGGTTACACTAATAAACAGACAGACATATAGACATAAAGGAGATAATTTCCTTGGCAAGGTTTCAGAACTCAATTGACAACACAAACGCTGAAATTATACCAAACATTTGAAAAGCCTTTTTGCATTGAAACAAGTAGATAGTACCCGTCAGAATATTTTAACAGCAAAAATTTGGAGAGCCAAAAACTGAGAATATAACGGAAAATTGACATTACAGGGTCTTGTGGCTTACTCGATTCTGCTACTCTTAGATTAATCTTACTGTACCAGATTATTATGCGACCCTATAGTGCCATCATATCCGTGTCGTTTGAACTCGTTGTGATGCGTTCACCCGTGTAAGCTTTAGCATTACTCTATGAAGCGGGACTACTTCATGTAGCAATACGATATAGGCAGGAGTTTTTGACGAACCATACCTTTTAAAACGCATTGTCCCACTGGAGTCTAGGTAAAGTTCAAAGTTCTCGAAAGAAATGTCTCGTACGTACTTTTGTTTGTGCTTTGTACTATAAATACGTAACTAAGTCGTGATGCATGTTTCGAAATGAGCAAGACGTGAGGCAAATGCTTATTTCAGGTCATACCAATGAACAATCGTGAAAGACTAATGGTACCTTAAGCAGGTTTACGGTCCTCTAACAAATAATACTCTCTGAGTTCTTTGTCTTCATTTTTTATTTTGAGGTGCCAGGCTGTGTCTAAATATGTAACAATAATAATATATATCTAAATTCGCTGGGAAGTGTGCCCTTAAAATCGCCAACACAGCGTTAGCCACGTAATTTTCTGAACACCATATACCTATCTTTGTATACTGCATTGTATACGCGATTTCCCTTGCTACGACAGAGACAAACTGACAGCACTTACCGGATTGGTGGCGTTGGCGATGTGCTGCGCGGGCGGCGCAGCGCCCCCTAGCGGATAGGTGGCGTACGAGCTGCCAAACTGTTGCAAAATGCTTTTGGCGAACGGGGCCACGAGGGATGGACATAGTTGACCGATATTCGCCATCTGCTCAACGAAAACAAGGCACGCAAGTCCACACAAACAAATAGAAAAATAGACGTGGATTCCGAAGGGACAGTCGAATGAGCCCAAGTGAACACGAAACAAAAATACCACTTGTAAAACATTGCTGTAAGGACACGCTACGAGGATATATGTTACGTTACATGTGTACAGGCTTGTCGGCGCATCTCTTTTCTTCTCCCTATTGGTGCGAAGGCGCGACCCAGTCCGTCAAATCAAGAGCAAGCACAATTTTGGTCTAGTGAAGCGTATTGACCAGCTTCTGGGGCAACTAAAGTACGCCCCATCGAAAACTGCCCACCCATCTTGTCCAAGTTCTGAAAGCGGCGTGTCACCTCGGTGACAGGTCTAAACGCCCATACTCGGCTGCATCGCCGTAGACCTTATCGGCTGGGATAGGTGTCTGCTATTGGGGCTATTTCCAAAGTTGTGAATACCTAAAGTTACACAAAAGGACCTTACAAATGCCATTACATACTAGAGACGTCGAAAAGCAACTGGCAAGTGATGAAACAATTTGAACATGGCGTATTCGCCTCTTCATCGATCGTTGCACCCGTTCCATTTCGTCTAATAATTTCTCAAAGCTGTGACTAATCTCTACGACGTATTTGTCCTGGGTATATTATACATAAAAGCATATTTAGCATCCCAGCGACGCACTGTACCGACTCTTTCATACCAAGCAGCATTTGGAAATCAGATTTCCGGGCTCGCCAAGCTATCGTTGTTGCTGCTGCTACCGCTCTGGTTGTCGGCGTTTTCCCGGCAGCTTTCACACGATGACACTGGCATGCCTTGCGCAAAGACCTAGAATATCACTAGTTTTAATCTTAGCTCTCAGACGTTGGCCGTCAATGCAGATGTACGGCTCATACATTCTGTATCCAAAGCCCCGCTACAGATCGTTCGTAAAACTATAATATTTTGTACTTCAATAGCTGCGCTTAGGCAAACGCTGGGAGTGGATACATGGTCGCGAGTAAGGCACTTTTTCTGTCCTACGAATATAAAAATGAATCTCACCGAGACATATTCCGCCGAGTCAATTTGTTTCAACTTATGTCTTTCTGACACGACTTATACGCGACTTTGAATCTTCTGATATATGTATATATATGATAGCTTGGCGTATGCAAAAAAGGAGGACGAAGGAAACAACGAGCGTAAGCCAAAAACGGATACTGTTTCCAATTAAGGTCTCTCTGTTTTTTCTTGTCCATTCGACTATCGACAGAATGTTTACCGATCTATTGGAGCAAGTGCATAGTGAACGCCTTTTTTTTTGCTCGATACTGAGAACTGTATAATAATATACTATTTTTTTTTTAGGGATATATAAATCGGTCGTCCTTGTGGGTTACCGCCATTTGCTTGATTATTTGAATTAGCTGTCTTGGATCGGCATTCCTAAATCTCTATGCACACATACACAGACACACTGCACTAAATTAGCATTTGACCTTTCAATACAATGGTGTCGTACCCCGCGATGGAAACTATGATGGCGTGAGTGATGATCGTGACCTAAAGAGCAGACACAAATGACGAGTGCTGGCGGCTAGGTACGCTGTCTGGATGAATATTCCCCCTGTGTTGTATATCTGTACAGAACATGCTTTATATAGCGGCTGCAGCGGTAAGCATGTATCCGCTTCACTTTCTCTGGGTCGTTCGGCCCTCGTAAACAGGAAGGAAACGACAAGACGGAGACTTGCATTACGTCTGTTTGTCAATTTGACTTGGCTTCCGTTTTTTCTGTGTTAGTTTGATCATCTGAACTATAGTTGGCGGCAGCAAGTGGTACCTCCAGCAAATCATATCCACTCTGCTTGTGCAATCATTTTCTGCAAACACCAAACGTTGACGCTCGCCATTCCCTGCCCCATAAACAAGTCCACGTCAGCCATCCAGGCCATTAAAGACTGTCTATATCCAATAAATGTGTTGTTGTTGATGGCGGGCGCAGCTCGGGTTTGTTTTACAGAAAGCTCTAACTAATTACAGGTGCTGCTACTCCCGCACGTGGCCTTGTTAAACGTGCATTTAGCTCATTCAAGTAATTTCGACTATTAAGAGTGGTTCATTGAAAAATCTACTCCGTAACATTTACAAGAAGAAGATTACATTCAATTTGCACATTATAGTAACCCAATTTTTTGAAAAACCAATGCATAGCACAAGCAGTCTCTCGCCAAGACCGTATCGCTTTCTCAGTGTCCTAACAGGTCGTCGAAGCAATGTTAAATAGCTATATTACGGCTTGTTACAGAGGGGACAGCTGAGAGTAAACTAAAGAAAGTTTTAGGTATTTCGGTATAGACGGAGTTAAACGAGAATCATCTACTAAATAATACCGACGTTGGCTTCTATTACATTAATAGGGAAATAAAAAAAACATCAGGTTTCAGGAACTACCAGCAAGGCTGGCAGCAACAGGCTGTAATTTTCCTACAATGGTTTGCTGAGCTGTTCCGGAAGGCTGCCGCTGGAAACAGGTCGTCCAGTTTTCAAAAAACCTTACGCTACCTGTCGATCGACAACGCAGCAGTTGCCGGCTTGGCTGGCAGATTGGACGCGAGGGAAGGGGTAAGCGTTCGAAGGTTAGTTTCAGGCTAGGACACGCACCTGGCCGACCTGCGACATGCGTCGCATTTGTCGTTCACGTTCAGTGTCGGCGAATTTGACGACTAGTGATGAAGAAGCCCCAGGCATTGTCTGCGAGCCGTGCAAACCTTGAATTGCCCGCGCCGCTTCGGAGTGCGAGGAGAACTTGACGAACGCGCAGCCCTTACTGTGTCCGTCAGGCCCTCGTAAAATTGTGCACTCCTCAATGGCTCCGTAGATCTGCAAAAAGAGAACGGATAGAAACCACAAAGAAATCCTGTAAGCTAACTGGGTGTTGCCTAAGGAGGTACATAAGAGTAATGTCTTTATTATTACTAAACGTCTACGGTTTCCTAGTTACATCTATGCACTCCCTAGTTTGGGTACGCGCAACGTCTACCAATAGAAATAGTTCAACTATCAGTTGATAATAGCGATAGCGATAATAACGCATAATCAGCACAGAGAGTGTTTTTTCTTTCAAACCATTCTTGTATTCTGTCTAGCACAAACACGGTGGATCAACAGCACAGAGTACGTGAGCTTGATGTCAATAAATGGATTAAGTGTTTGTAGGATTCGGCTACATTATTCTAGGTATAGCCAGTAAGAGGTCTGCATGGTGAATTTGTATTCCTACTGCAACCTGTTTGCCTGATCTTACTATACGAACGCGTACATGCATTATTTGACATGACCCGTACCCCGAACACAGGACGATCTGGCATCGTACTGCAATAGCACTTCTTAAAGTAATTGGGTAAATTACCAAAGAGAGGCGTCTTGTTCTACTTACTACGCCATATGTGTATATAGGGGGCGCACAGAAGCGGTTACCTCAGGTTGTTGTTCAATGATTCGTTGTGCTAAGAATTGTTGTGATTGAGGTGACCGAAGGCTATATATATATATATGCAAGCATACTACTTAAAATTACGCGGAAATCTTCGGTAAACACCGGGGCACCGAGTACTGAAATCGCGGCAGGGGAAACACCGGTGTTCTGTAACTTATACTCTGTAACTCTTCTGTTTTTTGAGAAGAGTTTCAGGTGATAGCTTGGCTCTATAGCTGTTTGTGTGAACTCAGATGCTAGGGTATTCGCTGGATATCTGTGAAATAGCACTGAAGAAGCGCTGATCAGCCAGCCAGCATATTGTAAAAGGCCTTTGCAGCGGCATTACGTACTGTTATGTGCTTCATTTACCTCTATCAAGCTCGTTTTGCGGATTAACAATGTGTGCAATAAGCGGCCGTTATGAGAGTGCGTGAAGTTACGGTTAACGAATCATGTTCATGCAAAGCTGACTAGTAAAACAGACACAGTTACCTGTCATTCATAGAATATACGATTCTAGGCATACTCTCATAGACTAAACTAGAGTCATGTAATGAAATGCACCAACGATTAGCAGCCACTAACTCAAATAATAACAAATTATTTGAAAAGCAGGTACTGTTGATAACAAAAACCTATTTTTTAAGCCCAGAATATTTGCGATCATCGTAGCATCAATTACTACCCCAAAGTTACCGTACCATCCGTCTCGTATACTCTTCCACTCCTATTTTTGTTAATGACGAAATCTCCGCTTTGCATTGATATGACTATTTTTCGTATGTACGGCTGAAAACGGAACGAATCTTTTTTGGTCCGGCCAGAACAGCAGCGTCCGCAGCAGTGTATGTTTCGGGAGCAGCTGCGTACGTTCAATATGCGTATGGAAACTCTAATTCGCCTGAAGGGCAAGGCTCGCATTGCCCGTTGTCTCTCTTTCAACCTACCCGTGTTGTCTCCCTTCTGGTCGATGCTTGCCAATATCTGGCTGGAAGACTCCATAACAGATAGTTTCGTCCTCTTACACAGTATCTCTACATCACTGTTGTATGCCCTCGAATATAACGACAGACAGCTCACGCCATGACGACAACAACAACGGCAAACAAGGCAAGCATGGTTCAGCGCTCAGACCTTCATCCTCGCGTAGGCCAAAATCTGTTCTAGTTTGATCTGATGGTTCGGGCATCCTTTGGCCGTGGAATAGGGTTCCACCGCCCTCTCTGCCACTAGAGGCGGCGTAACGAGGCGAACGGCACACAGGGCAGGCCTCCTTCAGATCCAAATGAACTTTGTGTAATAAAACTTCCTCTTTGTTCCCTTTGTCGTTCTTCTTGACTTAGCCATCGAAGGTTGGCTAGGACTGGCCGCCTGGCTCCGGTTGCATGCCAGGAAAGAGCCATCATCGCCATTTGCGGCAACGCCTAACGCGTTTCAGGTGCGAATGAGAAGCGCATAGAAGAAAAGAGGGCGCAGGGAGCTAAAGAAGAACTAAAAAGGTAGGAAAGGTCCAGCTCAGAAACAGTTAGCACTTCGAAGGGGGACTGAATAGAATGAAGAAGTACGAAGCAATCAACTCGCCCCAATTCCATGCATCCGACTAGATATCGTTGTGCCTTCAACTTTGCTTGTTTGACTCTTTATCTATTTTTATGTGTGTGTAAGTGGCCTCGACTGTGCGCTTTTGCTACAAGACGCGAGACCTGCTAGCAAGTAGGAATAAGCGCCAGTTAAAATATGTCCTCAAAGTACAGTGTACAAAAACTACCATTCTTATATTTGAAACATACGCTCCAATCAAGCTGCGGTAAGGACTTCGTCTACGAAAGCTCGTCTGTCGCCCCAACTTTACTAGCAGCCTCCACCCGAAACCCTCATATGTACTAAGCAGATTGCCAATTTATGCGTTTAGGTTTTTATGTAGTGCGTTTGTGGTTTAGAGTTCAAAGCTTCAAGGCCTTCGAGACAAGCCCGCTTTTTATTCGAACGTTACGTCTGCTTCCTACCATTGTAAAGTGTGCATGAGATTGGCCTAAATGATACTGAAAGCTCACCATTGAGTCAACGTTGCAACAACCCCCGACGACACTGAAGCGAAGCCATTTACACAGTCCGACACTGTGTTGGTGCCTGAGGATTGGCCAACGCCCATAATCAACGCTTAGTAGAATCTCAAAGAACAGAAGTTTGTCAGAATCATTGAGAATGTGATACTCGCGTCCGTTTCCATAAGAACGATTGTATTATTAGACTAGATGAAAGTAACTATAGAATCAAATTATTTTCTTTCGTATAGACGCATCTATAGTTTGTTCGAAAATGACGACCTTCCAAACATACGATACTGTTTCAAAGCTTGTAATCTTTCCTTGGCCGGCGAGGCAACACAAGGAAAAATTCAACAACAGAGCCCACTGCCTTATTCTGACCTTTTGGATAGTGGGCTGTAGCGCATTATGCTGGAGAACGTTTTTGAATACGTGGAGAAGAGCACTCGTAAGCATATAAAAAGTGGTTTGTAGGCGGACCTGAAGCTTTTTGTTTACGCGATATCCTGTTACGGAACCGCCAATATAGCCACATCGTAGTCGTCCATGTTTGTTTTTACTTTTAGTTTTATTATCTTGAAGTCATCAGCAGGATATATAGGATCCCTCATGCAATCACTATATATATATATATATATATATATATATATATATATCGTTGTGACGACTGTGCAAAGGTAGGGCGGATCTCAGTGGGCATCTCGGTGGGATGACCAAAGTCGGCCTGCTAATCTTGCTTAGAATATGCGAAGAAGGTAACTTGTTCTGTCGATATACGCACGCTGTGAAACTGTGTGCTTTGTCGAAGTTAGAAACGCCAACGTGTTCGTTAAGTCGTGCCTAGGATCTTCGTACGGTCGGCATAAACCTCATACGCAACTCGGTTCGTAGCGACAGTTAGAGTGTAGAATGGTCGTCTAAGAATAGAACGTCTTACACAGGAGAATATATATTGTCCTTTAGCGCTATATAACCTTTGTTTCTGATCTTTGATGATCCCATTGTCCTTGTTACGCTCCTGGTTGCTCTTGTACAATTTCGGACAATACTACAAAAGCCACTTAGCTTTGGATTTTAGCTGGATTTTGGATTCATTTAGCCAACTGGATTAACCTGAAGGCGATACAATAACCGAGAAATTCGAAACAGTTTGACCAATCGGTTACACATGGACTTTAAGGAGGCGCAGCTTCCGAGAATTGGAAAAGGAGTAAGTGGTAAAACACGACCTTGTGTATAATTCAATGTCACCTTTACGCTTTCTACCGGATGCTGTGCGTTGTGTCGTATGTGCGTTGCCGTTCAAACTCTTTATTTGCGCGATGTAGCGTCTCTGTAATCCTCTCCATTCAAGGAAATACCACTGACGAATGATCCGACTAGAATCCGACTCAGGATAGATACTTAACTACTCGGTCAGAGTAATTACCGCCTCCAGCGAATGATACTTCTGGGATTTAAGGAAGAGGACACATTTACCCTTATTAACTACTTCTCCGAACCATGCTGCTTCGATGCCAAGTACTAGAGATGTAGAAGGTAGATAAACAGCACCGCTTGAAGGCGCTCGACCGTATGTCTGAGGTATTTATAGGCAGGCTAGTGGTGTTGTATTTTAATATGTCGGTAACTATGTAACATTTGAATATTGTTGCGTATTTAGCCAATAAAAGGCAACGATTGCTATTCACCGGCCAAAACCACAATCAGTCACTTCGAACTCAATGAAGCCAACAAATCGCTCAGGCAGATTGCAGCCCCCTCAGCCCATTAAAGCTCTCCAAATACACCCAAGCGCTCATCTTCTATAACGATTAATCTAGCCTGTATACTACTTTCGGTTCGTATGAAAGTTTGGGGATTTGCCAGCCGAGCATTGTCATTTCTACTGGGGGCGCCAGTGATGGGAGATTGACTCTCTGACAAAGGGCCACTATGATAGGGGCAACAACAGCCGCAGCAGTATTAACAGGGACAACAGCACATTGCTTGGCCACTCGTCGTAGTGGCCAGTGGTAGTGCTGGCGACTGGTATGGTGTCAATAGAAGCTGCTCCTAAGACAACGAGGGCTTCGGTAGTGGCCGCAGAAATAGCAGCGCCGACAAGGAAGAGGAGTAATATACTTGAGCCCCCAGGGACTACAAGCGGTGGCAACCTTATTTTCCCTACGGAACCGAACCAGTCTAAAAGCTCAGTCCAAGAGACAGACAAGCATTCTGCTTGCCCATTTCTAGAGGCGGAGTCCACCAACCAGTAACCGACCAACGCATAGCGGCAGAAAGCCAATGTGTGCCGGCAGGCCGCACTAGGTGTGGGCTTTCGCTCATGGATATGCTGCTTTGCCGGCGGTGCC